GCGGGGCTGCTTGTCCTGCTGCTTGCCAGCCTGGGAGGGGGAGGGAAAAAGGAAAACGAATGCCCCCGAAGATGGCCTGCGGCATCGCAGAGCTGCTCATGGCAGGGCCTGACCCCTGCTATTGCCTCTTCCATCAATATAATTTAGTTCTGCATTTTTAAATGGATGAGTCGCAGCTAGGGCACTGTAGGGGAAGCATGAGAGCGAATGCATTGCCAGTGCAGATGGAGAAGTTAGGGGCAAGGTCTGTGCCTCCCTCCCCGCTGTTTGCTCGCCTGCTGGTGCCCATGCACCCCTGGTGCCTCCTCCCTGGGCTCTCGCCCTGCGGCTGCGGGTGCTTTCGGGTCCCCATGCGCCCAGGCAGGGGCAGGGCTGGCCACCCACCCCACAGAAACACACGGCTGTGGAGGGGGATTCACCCCACCGATGCTTTCTGGGGAGGGGATGAACCAGCCCTTGGGGGTGTCAGCATTTTCCCCTCCTTTTTTTTTTTTTTTTTTTTGATGTTTCCATTTCCCCCCTTTCCCCTGGTACAGGCTCAGCCTGGACAACAAGAACTGAAGGAGAGAATCTCTTGGAAACCTCAAAAGCGAGGTGGCTTCCTCTCACCCACCCAAGCAATATTATTTGTTTGCCCCTAGACCTTTACCCCCTGGTTGAGCAGAGGCTGCCCGCCGGCAGCATCCCATTCCCAGCGTCCTCTCCATTCCCATGCTCCGGCTCAGCGGGATCGCTGCCGGGTGCTCCTCATGGCTGCCCTTCACCATTTTGTCCCTCGGAGGCTGTGGATCTGGGTTGTGTTTGGCTCTCGGGAGCTATCGGCATCGGGGCGCCCAGGGATGCCAAGCGAGGAAGCTCGGCAGCAAACGCGAGCAGACAGCAGACACGGGCACGCCAGCTCGGCGGGGGGGGAGGAGAGGGTAGTGAGACGCTCTCCTCACTTTCCCAACATGCTGTCCCCAGAGCCACTGCGGGAGCCACCTCCATGCCTCGGCTTGGGCAGGGGACGCTGGCCATGTCCCCTCCAACCTGGGGCGCCAGGAAGGAGGGGGCAGCCTCACCGCCATCTCTCCCACAGGCTGGGCTGCTGCAGCCTCACCGCCACCGGCCGGCAGGCGGT